CATAGAGAGAGGAAGGCGGCATGCTCCTCGTCAGATACAGGGTCGGCTTTCATGTGCTCGGTAATGAAGCCTGACTAACCATGGTTTTTCTTCTTGGCATTGAGGTGATAGGCACATTTGGTACTCAAATCAAAGGGATTAACAGAAGAAATGATGTCTAGGCCAGTAAGCATTTGGTGTCGAGCAAAGTAAGGGTCATAGGACACTACCGGAAGAGGAACGTGTTAAGAGTATACGACCAGAAGTAGCTTGCGGCAGAAAGCAAAGGTTCATCCTTCTTAAGGCCCGCCAGAGATAAAGCTAAACATTGGGCTATCCCTACTTCCTTCCAATAAGATTGCTTGGCCGCTATCATCCTGCGGTACCACGTCTTGTATCCCTTCAGCTTGGATGGCCAACCCTAAAAGTTGATCGCCACTTGACCAAATCTGGCTTAGTTTGCCTGAAGAGGATCCGATTGGTTTCAGCATTGATCAGCGCAATGAGATCCGGATCACCCATTGGCCCGAGATAGAAGTGTGCGGGATCATGAGGGGAAGGAATCAGAAGTTGATCTTTGAGATGCTGACAAAGGAAGGTGATGCTAGATTAGAGATGCTGACAGCGTGCAGGTTGAAGACAAGTGCTGCAAATTGCTATGCCAATGACCAAATTACTTTTGCCAAAATCGTGAATTCTTTATCATATCTTAGGTATATCTTCTCTTACTTCTAGTTGGCAAGTCCATCCGGTCGATGCCTTCTTCATTGGCGACGCAAGTCAGAAGTGCCGATGTTCTTTCGGTGTGCTAGTGTTAACGGTGAAATCTGGCAGTAGGACACAAGAAGAGAGAAAGGAACAAGATTAGATTGACGTCAAAGCATGCTGGGAACTGACTTGAATCATGCGTCGGTCAGGGACCATATCGGGTGTAGGGCGAAGGGCTGCGACCAAGGCTGACCCAGTCGACCAATGACTGAACTAATCGGTGCAGTGCGATTTGGACGGGGTGTGGGCCCAATTTGGAGTGAACGCCATTGCCAATTAGAGATAAAGCTCGTTTGAAGGCAATTGTATCTATTAATTAGGTTAGTTACGTCGACCGCCGTATATGGTCTTGCTTGTATCTTAGAGTTTAGAAAGTTTTGAGTCGTGTCCATAATGGACTTATATGTATCCGGGGTATAAATATTATGCCCCTAGCACTGTAATGCGGGAGACAATCCAATACAACTTCGGCGTATCACCACCCTTTTTGCTTTTCCTGTTTTCGGTGAGTTCTCTCCAAAAGAGGTAACCCGGCCGTCTCGATGGCTTGTGCTATCGGGGCTATTGCATCGCTTTAGATGTTCTAGTTCTTTTATCATGACCGTCGCTATCATATGCCTTAGCTAATCTCGTCTTGGTATCTCGATTTGGCTCTATCGGCTGTCTCTCGCTTTAGGGTTTCTGCCGGTATCGGCTAAATCGCCTTACCAGATTAGATTAGCTAAGGCATCTACCATCTTGAAAAGTATTTAATTCCTTGATTGTTTAGACTTTAGGTTTCTTAACATACTTTGAGATGCATCATCCCTAGTCGTGTTTAGAACCCTAGAAACTAACCTGGAATTAATCATAATTAGAGATAGTATCGGGGTTTCAACCGATCTTACCTGATATGCTTGTTTCTTTATCGTTACATGTGTATCCGCCACCTATACAGATGGGCCTCGCTATAGCTTGGCATCGGGACTGTGTCGTATCGGCTCGACCACTAATTCGACCATCGGCTCAGTCCCGACGCCTGGTTATAGCTTGGCTTGCCTGTATAGGTGCGTGCCAGAGTACTAGCCAGCACGTCATCATCTTCTTTGTGCTGTTCTTCCTTTATTGGCTGCCATCCTGTTAAGCGTTGTCTTGATTATTACATGCTTTTATCCCTACAGACGGTGCTTTGGCCGATAGGGTGTTCTTAGGACATTACTATTCCTTGTTATACCCAGTCCACAGCTGGCTCAATCGGCTAGGGACCACCAACGATACGCTGTCGGCCCATCGGCCGACCAGCTATCGGTTGACCAACCTCCCCTCTTTTGTTTCCTTGCTGATTGCAGGATCAAATCAGCTGGCACGCCCTTAGCACTCGAGGCAAGCCTTGGACCTGCACTGAAGTTAAGCAGATCTCCTAGGCCATGCGTGTTTTCGCATTGACAGCTAGATATGGCCCGGTGGATCCCGAGTCATTGGCTTTTGCGACTCAACATGTGTGGCTTCTTCGTTGTGGTCAGTGGGAGCTTCTCCGACGGCCACCGGCGTTGATTCGGGAAGACGATTAGACGAGAGATGTACCTGGAAGAAAGTAGATCTTGCAGGAAAGTCCTTCTATTACTTGTTTGTTTTCTTTGTTTTTTCAAGGTTTTGTTTGTAATCTAGGGTTGTACTGTTCTACTTAATTAATGAAAATCCCCTTTCACAAAAAAATAGATCAAGTAGGCAGGGTGATCAGGGAGCTGCAAGCGCCCAAGTCGCCAAAGCACAGCCCACGGCCCATCCAGCCAACCTTCTTCTCCGCCCAACGCCGCCGCCAAGCACCGTCGCCGCCCCATCTTCTGTCGTCGCCCCTGTTGGTATTTCTTAACGACATTACTAGAAATTTTTATTCCGAGCAATGGCGCTAGAAATGGTCCTTGTATATTTATGGTTACAGATGTTTATCCACAAGCGCACGGATATACCATTGTAGTATTTCACCCGGAAGTATTCCAAGGTATCGTATTTTTAATCCCAAGGGAAGACAATATGAGTGGACTATGCTAATACTCTTTATACATATATTACTTACATTCATCAAAGTCTAAGCAGGGGTAAGTTTTAATATAAGGGTAGAGTGACACGAAGCGAAGCATTCAATCCTCATAAATAAATAATACTAACTAAGTGGAAGATAGAATAGAAAGTACTACAATTCCTATACTTCTAATATACACTCAAGTCCTAGTTTACACATGCTAATATATAGTCGTGTGTCTAATACCCCTAACAGTGTCCTCCTGGTACTTTGAGAGACCACCCCGGGTTGCCGAGTTCCTTACGACAACTTGTCATGGCCGTCCAACCGGGGCTAAATATGGAGGAGTACCCTCCCCCAGGATTTTGTCTTAGAAATATATACTAACGTGGAGGAATACCCATACTGAGCTGTCACCATCAGCGGCCCACCTCTACTATCCCGCAGCATATATGCCCAATTAATGATATTTAACCATCTAAGCACCATGCTTATATAATCAAATATTATTCTATAACCGCACGCCCGATATAGAATAACTAGTAAACTAGACATTAAACCCGCACCATTACACCTCTCTGGTACGCTACCCACACAACTAGTATAATGTAAATATAAAATAAAGACAGTACTCAGACTAAGCAGAATACCGAGGATATATAAAGAAGAGTATTTCATTAATTCGAAAAGTATTACAGAAGAGAGTACAAGAGCTGCGAGAGCCATACCGAAACTCTTCCGCAGACTCCAAGGGACTCTGAATACTATTCTATTTCTACTCCACTTAGAACTATACTACTAATACTAAAGTATGAGAGGAATTGAACTTGCTTGAGTGTGTTGAGATAGTGAATGAGCTCCTCCTTTTATAGGGCAGTTATGACGGCTGTAGGAACGTGAAAAGTCGGTTTTGCCCTTGCAACCGTCATTGAGGAGTAATCTTGAGCGTCCACGTGGAGGGCCATCCTGTCTGGGCGCCACCAGGGTTCGGGCGAACCCCTGGTTCGGCCCAGCAGGCCTCGAGCTTCGGTACAGGCACTAACAGGTGGGTCCTTTAGGCGGTTGTGGCAGTTAAGTCGGTTTCCGGACGGTTACACCTGACATGTGGACCCTCCTTATCCTCTAGCTTGCTTAGGAGTGAGGTTTTCTTCACTTTCTCTTTATTTTATTTGATAATTCATGCAACATGTTATTTTCCAAGTACAAGTGGAGATAGAGATTATTTAGAAACGGTCGAACTTTGTCGGTAACGACCGTCAACAAAACCCCCCATCAACGGAATGTTGATGTGGATCTTTTGGATGACATCCATGAACCAGGCGAATTGCTGTCCACGGAGGGCTTCTTCTAGCATTGAGGAAATGGCAGCAACGTTGTATCACAGTACTCCTACGGTTTGTCGGGCTACGCCTCCTCTTCTTCCTCGGGCCGCGCTTCCTTGGCAGCTTGCCTTGTGCCTGTAGTGTTAGGATTTGGCGGATCCCGAGTAGATTTTCCTCCCCTTGTGGTGATCGCCTTAACATTCTCTAAGGACGGTTCGGGTTGCCCCAGAATCCGTCCCGCCTCATTAGCAGGAACTAAAGCGGCTAACTGCGCCAGCTGGGTTTCTATCATCTTATTAACGCTTAGCCGGTTTTGGAAAGCAGAAGCAAAGCCTTCTAGCTTAACATTTATATTCTCTAAGACTTTATCATTCAAGGCAAGCTTTTTGTTTATAGCGTCAGTGGTTTTAGCTTGCGCGAAAACTAAGTCCTTTAAGGAGGGCTGATTGAAATTACCGTTATTGTTGCCGTTGTTGTTGCTGCCTCCTTGGTAGTATGGCTGGGGCTAGTTCCACCCCTGGCCTCCTTGCGGCCGAAAGCCGTTGTTCCCCATGAACATGGCTTCTTCATGAGTCTCGGGGCAGTCATTCCCCGAGTGACCCGTACTCCCGCAGACCTCGCAAGTGTTGTGCGAGTCTACTGCCTTGACGGAGGCCTACGGTTTGGCCTTCTCCTGATCGTCCAGCTTCTTCATCAGGAGATCCAGCTTGGCGGCCAACATGTCCGTCTTCTTGACGGTATGCATACCACGCTGGCGGGTCTGGAGTCGTTCTTCGCTCCAGCCCATGTTGGACACCATCTTCTTGATAAGATCAATGGCCGCTCGGACCATCTTCGAGAAGAAGGTTCCTCCAGCAACAACGTCCAGGTGATCCATGGACGAGAGAGTGAGCCCATTGTAGAAACTCTGTAGGATGAGCCAGTTGTCCATCCCGTTGTGAGGACAGGCGGCCACATACTCCTGCAGACGTTCCCATGCTTTGGGAATAGTCTCATCCCTTGTCTGCTGGAAACTTGAAATCCTTCCACGAAGGGCGTTGGTCTTGCCCATCGGGAAGAACTTCGAGAGGAACGCCGTGGAGCACTTGTCCCAGGTATTGACAGTTGCCCGGTTCGCATAGAACCACTGTTTTGCCTTTCCCAGGAGTGAGAAAGGAAACAGACGGAGCCTAACGGCGTCTGGACTGACCCGTAAGTGCTGCAAATATCCAGGAACTGCTGTAAGTGAGCACTTGCATCCTCGTTCGGCTTGCCACAGAATGGGCTTGCCTACGCCATGGTGATCAGGCTGCTCTTGAGGTCAAAGTCCGTGTCTCCAATATTGACAGTCAGCCTAACGGGCACATTGTCAGCAGAGGGGGCAGTGAATTCGCGGAGTGTCTTATCGGCCATATTCCTGAAAATTTGTGGCGCTTGGTGTCACGCCCTGAAAATCGCCTAAATTAATAATCCATCTTTTAAATCATTTTTAGAAATTATTTTAAAAGCCTACAAGTTAAACTCTAATAATCTAGGAAAAATTTCAACACAAAATTGAGCTAGATAAAATTTTATTAAATACTTTGCTTGTTTATCTATTTTCTAGATTTTTCTGGGAATTATTTGAGCAAGGAAAGTATTTTTAATAAATGAAACATCATTTCACGAATTATTTTAATTGGAAAAGTTTTTAAAATCCTCCCCTAAGCCGTTGGGCCGTTTTCGGCCCAACATCTCTCTCTCCTCGCGCGCGCCGAGCGGCCCAAGCCGCCGCCGCCCCACCCCTCCTCTCAGCCGCCGACATGTGGGGCCCACATGTCGGGGTCATCCCCTACCTCCGGCCGGCCGAACCGAGCCCGAGCCGCCGCCGTTCTCCGCCGAATCCGCCTCAACCGGTCGCCCCCGAGTCCAATTGCTTGAGGGGAAATCATTTTCTCCTTATCCTCTCCCTTTCCCCTAAGGTTTCGGGGATCAATTTTGCCCGGATAAACCCAAATTGAATTCGTTTTGAGTTTATCTCTCCAATCTAACCCTAGGATTTTCCGGCTTCGATTCCTCTCGTTTGGAGTCCGATCTCTCTAATCCAAGTGTTGGCAACTTTTTTGACAAGTTGACAAGCACGATCGCAGCACCTTAAGCCTTGCGGTGATCCTAGAGTCGTCAACCACCTCGATCTAGCAAAGAGCTAAACCTAGATGGGTTTTGATAACTAAACCGGCTAGCGGAACCGATTTCTAGATAACTACCCGTCTCGTGGGCAAAACGGAAGGTTTTCAGGACAAACCTACAAAGGGATGTCGCACTCTCGCAGCGGCGGCGGACGGTTTACGGCGCAAACCGACAAAGATGGACAAACTAAGAGAAAACTAAAAGCAATATGAAAAAACGATTCGATTGATTGATTGTAGATTGGTTTTTTACAATGAACCGGCCATGTCCCTTATATAGGGGTTGGTCTTGCCCTCTACAGGCCCTCCTCCACGTCCAACTCGGGGTGGAGACCAAAGGAAACCCAAAACATGCCTTCCAGAGTAAGGAAACCCCGAGACCCGACAAAACACAATCGGACTCGGTCCTGCCGGTCAGACCGGCCACACACCGTCGGTCTGACCGGCCCTCAACCGGCGGTCTGACCGCCCAACACACGGCGGTCAGACCGGCCAACTCGGAGGAAACCGGTAGACTTCCAAATTTTGGCAATCCTTCCTATTTTAATCCTAGGTGTCAAATTTGGGTGTAAACACATGCCCCCTGCCTTTTTGATGAACAACGTGAATCTAAAAGCATAGAACATGTTTTTGGTCTTAGGACGATAATCCAATTACCGGCCATAGTACCTCCTAAGCGTCTTGCCAAACACTCGGGAAGTATATCTTCAAGTATTTCCCGTTGATCGCTCGCTGAAAACGCTCCCCTTGAAGTGTCTCAAAAAAGTATGCGTTCCCTCGAACAATGCCGCATACTCGATAAGGACCCTCCCAACTAGGAGACCACTTACCGAACTCCTTGGATCGAGTACCCAAAGGCAAAATTGTCTTCCAAACCAAGTCTCCAACTTGAAACAACTTTGCTTTCACCCTCTTGTTATACGCCTTGGCCACCCTCTTCTTCTCTTTCTCTATCTCTTCCAATGCCTTCAAGCGCTTGTCGATGACTTCATCAAGATTGTCTCCCATCAACATCTTGTAATCTTCACTTGACAAATCATCTTGCTTGATATAACGAAGAGGACCAAGATTTACCTCCACCGGTAAAACGGCTTCTTGACCATACACCAACTCAAAAGGAGTAACTTTAGTGGCACCATGTTTAGATATCCTATGCGCCCACAATGCTTCAGAAAGCACCTCATGCCACCTCTTTGGGTATTCCTCAATCTTCTTCTTCACCAACTTCAACAATGTTTTATTACTCGACTCGGCTTGCCCATTAGCCTGAGCGTAGTAAGGAGAAGAACTCAACAATTTAATACCATAAGATTCGGTAAAACTCTTCACTTCCTTAGACATAAAAGAAGCACCTTGATCCGTAATTAATGTTTGCGGAATACCGAATCTATGAATAATATGCTTCAAAATAAAGTCAATTACCTCCGTATGAGTCATATTCTTCAAAGGCACGGCTTCGGCCCACTTGGTGAAGTAATCCGTAGCAACTAGCACCAACCTATGCCCCTTTGATGATGAAGGATAAATTTAACCAATGAAATCCAAGGCCCATCCTCGGAACGGCCATGGTTTGATTATGGGGTTCAACACGGCGGCGGGCGTCAATTGAACATTGCCGAACCGTTGACAAGCCTCGCATCCTTTATAATACTTGAAGCAATCATCAATCATCTTTGGCCAATAGAACCCCGCTCTCCTAAGCAACCAATTCATCTTGTGGGCCGATTGATGAGTTCCACAAATTCCTTCATATACCTCTCCCATAGCCACTTTAGATTGATTTTCATCTAGGCACTTCCACAAGACACCATCTATATTTTGGCGATACAAATCTCCATCAAGCAATGTATATTTGAACGCTTGCCGCCGAATTTTCCGATCAACCTTGAGTGTAGGATCTTTCAAATATCGAATCAAAGGAATTCTCCAATCCTCTTCTGTTCCCTGGGCACAAATATCCGAATTCACACTTAATTCGGCTTCTAAATTAATTGAAGCGTGCCCCCCAGCGTTCTGCCTAGAACCGGTCAGACCGGCTACACAAGGCCGGTCAGACCACTCGGGGTCGCCGGTCAGACCGGCAGCATGCGGCCGGTCAGACTGCCCCTGGTCACCAGTCAGACCGGCCGTGCAATGTCGGTCAGACCGCCCCTGGTCTCCAGTTTTGCCAATTTCGCACAAAGATTTAAAATCAAGCACCGGCTTTTCTAATATCAGAAATAATCCCTTCTTCACATTATAACCAGATGCTTGTTGTGCCAAGTCATTTGCTCTAGAATTATCACGCCTAGCAATATGTCTAATAGCAAAATTATCAAAATTGGCAATAATATCCAAACATGAATCGAGGTACCTATTTAGTGATCCGTCCAAGCATTTGTAGACTCCGGCGACTTGTTGCACCACCAATTCCGAATCACCAAAAGCCTCCACGTACTTAGCTCCAACCATCTCCATAACTTGTAAGCCGAACAATAAAGCATTGTATTCGGCTTGATTATTTGTACAATAATACTCCAAACGAACCGATGCTTCATAACACATGCCATTAGGTGAAAATAAAACTACCCCTATGCATTGACCTTCTTTGCAAGAAGAACCATCAAAATAAATTCTCCAAGGTATAACTTCGACTAAGCAAACCTCCCCCTATAAGCAATATCTATATGATGGTCTACTATAAAATCACATACAATTTGGCCTTTCATAGATTTCAATGGTTCATAAGACAAATCATATTCTATCAAAGCATACACCCACTTGCCAATTCTCCCACTTAGAATTGGCCTTTGCAACATGTGTTTAATAACATCGGCTTGACAAGTAACTATGCATGTACTAGATAACTAATAATGCCTCAATTTGGTACAAGCATAGTATAAGCATAAACAAAGTCTCTCTATAAAGACATACCTCGTTTCGGCATCCAAAAGACGGCGGCTCAAAAATGTAATGATATATTCCTTGCCATCTTCCTCTTGCGTCAAAATGGCACCAATGACTTTGTCCTCGGAGGCAATATATAACCGAAAAGGCTTTCCGGCTTTAGACGCTCACACAACGGGTGGAGTAGACAAATATCTCTTCAACTCTTCAAACGCCTCTTGTTGTTTTGCCCACCAAGTAAAATCGGCTTCCCTTTTCAAACGAAGTATAGGAACAAAAGCATCGATTTTACCCGCTAGGTTAGAAATAAACATTCTCAAACAATTCATCTTACCTAGCAACTTTTGAACTTCCTTCTTGCATGTCGGCGCTTTGAAATCACGAATCTTTTCTATCTTCTTAGGATCAATCTCAACTCCTCTCTCATGCACCATGAATCCTAAGAACTTCCCCGCTGACACACCAAAAGCACATTTAAGTGGGTTCATCTTCAAACCATACCGGCGCATCCTCTCAAAAGCTAATCTCAAATCGGCTATGTGTCCTTCCATACCATCCGATTTGACAACAATATCATCAATATAGATCTCTAAGATAATACCTAGCAAATCATGGAAGATCAAATTCATTGCGCTTTGATACGTTGCACCGGCATTCTTCAACCCAAAAGTCATGACAACCCACTCAAATAAACCAACAAACCCCGGGCACCTAAAAGCCGTCTTGTACATATCCTCTTCTGCCATAAAGATTTGATTGTAGCCGGCATTACCATCTAGAAAGCTAATCACCTTATGACCCGAGGCATCATTAATCATCTTGTCGGCTATAGGCATAGGATACTCATCTTTGGGAGTAGCTTTATTTAAATCTCTAAAATTTATGCAAACTCTAATCTTACCACTCCCCTTCTTCTCCACCGGGACTATGCTAGAAACCCAATCCGCATAACGACATGGCCTAATAAACCCCGCCTTCAACAACCGATCAATCTCCTCTTTGA